ATCTTAAAAAAAAAAAAAATGGGCAGGAAGCCCAATTAGAGAGGTCTTCAAAGAAGACAGAGAGATTGCTGATAGGCTTATCACCAGGGAAATGTAAATTAAAATCACAATGAGATACCAACTCACACCTGTGAGAATGACTCAATATCAAAAAGTCCAGAAACAAGTGTCGGTCCTCACACTTGCTTGTGGAGAAAAAGCAACGTTGTTGGTGGGAATGTAGACTGGTAAAGAGCTCATAGAAAACAATATAGAGGTTTCTCAAAAGTTTAAAAAATAGATCTACCATATTATCTAGCAGTTTCCTTCCTAAGCATTTGCTCAACACATACCAAAGAAGTTGATAGAAATCAGCACTAAGAACTATATAATCAAATATATTTATTGTAGCATCATTAACAATGGCAAAATATTAAAATCCAGTAATGTACTTATCATGGTTTAAATAAAGCTTAAGAACTCAATGAAAAATCACATATGATTTCAGATGATGACTGGAATGATTATGTAGTATTTGAAAAACGCTTGTTAATAATTTAAGTGAAAGAACCAGGATATATGATATACACAGGACAGAACAAATGTGTTATAAGTAAAAAATTAAAAATGTAACAGTGATAACAGATGACATGTTTAGTCAGTGAAAGAAGGTATTCTTTTCCTTTTTTTTTTTTTTTTAAGATTTATTTATTTATTCGTACAGAACTGGGGTACAGGCCAGAGATGCGGAGGGTGAGAGGATTCACCAGGGACAGAGTGGGGAGCAGAACAGGCAGATAGAGAAGTACACTGCTGAGGGGAGCAGTGGGCGGGTCAGGAGAGGTCTGCCATGCCATGTGGATCTCCTCCGGGGCAGGCAGGAATCAAACTCATGCGGAAATAGCTTAAGCTTCTTAGTGCAGTGCTTTAACCCACTGCGGCACCAGGGAGGGCCTCTTTTCCTTTTTTTAAGTATCCAAATTTTGTTAAATGTAGCTATAATATGTTTAGAATTCTTTTACATTAAGTGTGACTTAGAGTTAAAGGACATAAAATCATTTATACTAAAGAACACATGCATCCTTATGTTAATTGCAGCACTATTTGTAATAGGCAAGATGTGGAATCAACCCAAATGCCCCAAAATAGATGACTGGATCAAAAAGATGTGGTACATATACACAGTGGAATATTACTCAGCAGTCAAAACAGACAAACGAATGCCATTTGCAGCAACATAGATGGAGCTGGAAGGGATTATGCTCAGTGAAATAAGTCAGAAGGAAAAAGAAAAATAGTGGATGGTTTTATTTATAGGAATACTATAGAAGATCTATGAAAAACAAAAAAATAGACAACTATAAATCAGAGACATTCTGCAGGAGAGGGGTTGGGAAAGGGATTAGAGAGAAGGAGGGAAGAGTATAAGTGACTATAGAGAGGGCGCACTGGTGAATTGGCGGTGGGATTTCTATGGGGACTACCCTTGAGAAAAGAAAGCAAAATTGTACAAAAATGAACAAAAATACAAATAATTTATATCTTTAAAAAATTGACCTAGTTAAGCAGAAAAAATAATTTATGAAACAGAAACCCCAAGATTTCTCTAATACAAAGCCAGGTTTGGGAAAAATCAATAAGCAAATGAATTTGCACCAGAATAATAAATACTAGGTAATCTCCAAACCTTTCGGACGTCTTCGTCACCTTTGTTCCACACATACGCCATGGTGATGTAGCTCAGTGCCAGATGTGCAAGGCGCTGGCACCTGTGCCCTGGGAGCCCTTCAATGTCGAGTTCCGGTAACTGAGAGTAAAAGGAGAAGTTGACTCAGATCAAATGCGTGACATTCCAATTTTAAAACTTAGTTTAACCCTACTCCCAAAATGTCGACAATAGTGTAAACCAATGCTACCACTGTTTAAAAAATTAATAAATTAAAACTAAAAATAAAACAAAGTTAAAAGTATTAAGGAGATAGAAGATAAATGTTATACATATTCGAACCTCCTCAACTTTTCCCCGTAGTTGGTCAGTATCAATCAGTGTTGGCAGATTTTTGGCAATGTCAATCCATTTACTATAAGGGCAAGGTAGCTCTTCCTGGGGAAACAAACAAGACAGTGAATGTTTATTTAGTAGTAACAGTCATTGTAGAATAGTTTTCCCAGAAATAGTTCTCTTCCCTCTGTGCTGGCAGCTCTGACACACCACTGTGTTTAGTAACATTAGCCAGTGTATTGCTATGGTGCTGCTCTCGCAGCCTTGGCATCTGCGTCTTTATCAAAATGCACCACAGGAGTTCCACTAAAATCTTCCTGACTACTACTGTCATGACTAGTAGTCCTAAGGATTATGCTCTTTCTCATGACTAAGTTCGTCAGAAATAAGGAAAGCAAAACTTAGAAAATTGATGTAACTTGCTTTGTAGGGTTAATTTCTGATGATGCAGACATAACTCTTTACAATTTTCAAAAATGCATGCTGTTTTTACATCTTACTACCTGAAAGCAAGGATTTTATTTTGCTCTTAATTCTGTCTCTCTTACAGTGCCTGGCACAGTATTGGACATATAGGAAATGCCATAAATATATACATTTTGAGTGCCTGCTTTAACTCCATTATAGATTTATATTTTTGCTCAGTAAGTACCAATGACATCCAAGTTCCTTCTTGAAATCTTATTGGTGAGCTCATCTCAAAGGAAAACATACAAACAAAAGACCTAGGCAATAAGTTGAAAGATTCCTGAACAACTCTGACTTCCCTTGTGCCCTGCTCCTCTGTCTTCTTTACACCAGGTCCAGACACACCATTCAGATCATCAATGCTCAAAGAATAGGACAGAGTTTAAATGAAGAGATTCATTCAAAACTAACATAAGGTTTTAAACTTCAAGACAAAGTTACGTTATACGTAAGTTGTAAAGTAAGTGGAAAATAAAATTCAAGTATTTTTCTGAACCTTACATGATTAGTAAAATAAAATGTTATTCAAATTCTCACTCTTACTTGATTTTTATACTTGGTAAACCTAATCAACAATATTAATACCCACCAAGTTGGTGATGTGGCAGCTCAAAGACCTAATCAAAATAGAAACATCTGCAGAGAATGCAAGATCTTTGATTTGAGCCATTTACTACTCTGTACTTTATTTTTCAGAGCCGTTTGAAAATGCAATTGTGTTTAACTATCTTGATTTTCATAATTCAAGTATTTTGTAAAGCTTAAATGCATCTTACTTTCCATATCACCCTCTATATTTGTATAAAATAAGAAGAACCTCTAAGTCTAAATTTCTAAGTGAACATTTTAAGATAGCTATGTATCACGTATCAAAATCATCTCCAAAATTGGCACTGATTTACCCATTTGTTAGTAGAAATTACTAAGCCATATTTATTCAAGAGAAGATAACCTGTCCAGGTAAGAAAATATTTCAGTTCCCTCTCTTACCAGTGGATTTGGCAGAGCAAAGCCCACTTGTGAGTCTACATGGAATTCTTCAAAGATTTTGCAAGAGCCTTTCTCCAGAGATGTTCCTTCGTGTGCCATGGCTGCTGCTACACTTCTGGCTCTTCCCAGTCTTGGAGGAGTTTCAAGGCCTCTATTTATGAAGAGGCTGTGCTATAGCTGTTGACCACAATTTATCACGTAGGCAGGAAAAAAATGACTTCCACTTTTGATACGCTTTCATTTTCTGCTTTCTTTATTCATAACTTGATAAGCAATGAAAGTATAAATGCATATGTTTCTGAGAAGAAGAAACTGAAAGGTCATATTCCATGTTAAATCTTAATCTGTTTTATAAGTGAAGTATGAAAGGGCCTGACTAAATTAAAAAAAAAAAGTGACAAGAGTATTTTCAATTTCTTGGAACATTTAAAATTTTGCATTAAAGAAACGAATCTGACCAAAACATAGTCTTAGCTAACAATAGGTAGGACTACCACTGGCTTTCTTTCAAGCTTCTAGGGTTGAATGAAAATATTAGTGCCTTGACTTAGCAACCAAGGAGAGCAATCTGTGATGCCCTGAACTTCAGTGGCTCTGAAGTAGAGAGTAACAAGTGTACATGAAGAAATTAGAGTATTTCTCAACTCACTCATTTTTTGACCAATTCATCTTGTCTTTGTTTCAATGACTCAGTTCTTTCTTCATAATCCTAATAAGTCATTTTAAGGAAGTTGGTACTTTTGTCTCTTTTCTGTGGTCTGTTGATACAACAGTCCTTCCCATTTAGAGATGGTGCAAGAAAGAGAACATACCTTGAAATTGCATCTTTCAAAAATTTAAGGTAGTGTTTAGTGAGTTTTCAAGGTGCAAACACAAAAGCTATATAGCTCCTTTTAATGATCTAAGGGGGGAAAAAGAGAAGGAACTAGTGTTAAGTGCATTGAAAAACAAAAACAGTTTTGTATTTGTCAGTAATTGAAATAAAATTTGATTATACATGGCTTTGACTACATTCTACAATAATGCTGAGACTACTCTGCATTTTTTATGATGTGTTCATGAAGCTGACAATTTTGAAACCAGGTCCAGGAAAGAAAATAAACAAGTGTGATGTTGACATCATATCCATGTGTCAACCACAATGCCAACAAACTATTGAGAATTAGAAAATGTGTTATTATTCCTTTGACTTTATTTTTTCCCACATTTACCAAGTGTTTTTAATGTGTGCTAGGTGAAGTGTGTTTTTTTTTTAAATAATATAATAATTTATTTTTACATCATTTTGTGCATTTTTTTTTTCTGTCTCTCTTGTAATCCCCATGGGTTTCCCATCGCCAAGCCTTTGACTTTTTTAGGCATTTTATACAATTTTATGATTCTGTTTTGGAAATATCTCTGAGAATTGGTATTTTAAGCTCCTTGACTTGAGAAAAAATTATCTAGACTCTCTTCAAGCTATCCAGTTAGATGTCTCCTACCTTTAATGGCAGAAACAACAGTGCTTGGATGTCTTAATTTTACCCCTAGCTTTTAAACTTTTTCAAATTTCAGCCCCTGTTATATTTATGAACATACATTCTCAGTTGATACTCAATCCTCATCCATCTGGATTTTTATTCATAAATAAACACATCTTGAAAATCCCTTTTTGCATGGTGTGAGAAGAACATCTTGATTTTTGTATTTAATATGAAGTCCTTATCTTCTGCTTTAGCTTGTGATGACATAAAGATTGGGAAAGTAAGAACTCAGTCTTTTGATGGATAGTCCTCTGGGGTTGAGACTAAATGTGAATCTGTCACATTGTATTGCTGTTTTCAATGTCACAAACTTGAAATCATGCAGTGTGTAGTCTTTCAGAGCTTTTTTCTTTTACATTTTTCTAATTACTGCTGAAATAAATACCTTTCAAATGTGTAAAGGTAAGTTCTATTTTTTAAAGTATTTTTAATTTTTTTTTTTAAGATTTATGTATTTCTGCATATAGAGCTGGGATACAGGCCAGAGGCACAGGAGCGAGCAGTAAGAGGCTTCACCAGAGACAGAGTGGGGAGCAGAACAGACAGATGGAGAAAGCACACTGCTGAGGGGAGCAGTGGCAGGTCAGGCAGTCTGCCACTCCATGTGGATCACCTCCCAGTGGGGGATCAAACTCACAATGAAGCAGCTACAGCTAGCTTGCAGTCCCGTGTTCTAACCTGTTGTGCCACTTGGGAGGGCCCAGTAAGTTCTATTTTCTATGCTATGAAATAATTAACTTTTTGTTTTTTTTTTACCAGTTTCACTGCTGATGTTTGTAGCTACTTACTGATCTGTCATTCTTAATATTTTGAATATTAACTCAATTGTATGTTGTAGGTAAATACTTCTCAAATTAGCTAAAGCTAAGGACCAGATTCATTTTACTTTCAATCATTAAAACTAATACTTGTGAAAAATAACAAAATTATTTTCTACAAAAAGAAAATACCATTATTTTAAAATATTGTATTATTTTTTATGGAGGCAAAGTTTGTTTACAGCACGGTGTATGGTAGGTACTCGCTTCTGCAGATGTATGGTAACACTCTACTGTCCACCACTAAAAAGCCCATAATCCTCTGCAGCAGTTGCTGGGGCAACTCTGCTTTGTTCCCATCCCTTATCCTCCCCTTGTGTTTGCCTAAAATATTCATTTTTTTTTTTTTGGCTAGAAGCACTAAGCTGACATTTAATTTTCAATGTTCATTTATAAGTACACTGACATTTAATTTTCAATGTTTCCAAGTACACCTGATTAAAAAAAAAACAAAATTTATATTATTAAGTATGCAAATAAGCAAATAGTGAATACAGAGTACTGTCATCATACTAACTTTTTATTGTTACCCACATAAAAGCAAGTAAAAATTTAGAAATGGGAAATATTTATTCACACTAAAAGTCTTTAAACATTCTTGCACACTGTTTCATTCAATATGTAAATTTCATGTGAAAAACATGTTATAGTATATAATTTATATACAGGAAAGTATATAGCTTTTTGGAGTAGGAATTTATGTGGGGCCTTTTAGGGTAATCCCATTAAGGCTGTGGAAATTACATTTGAGAGGCATACAATATTAAAGAATTCATTATACTCACAGGTTCTAGGGATGAGACACCACAGGCCCAGGAGGAGATATGAAGACAACGAAAAGCCAGTTGTTTGGCCACAGCGGGCAAGAAACAAACAGCAAGGACCTGTGGGCAAATGTCTTTGTCGAGAGCAGTTGTGGGTGGGGTAAATTGCAGGACCTGACACATTTTCACACGCATAATTTCAATGTAATTGAGTCAACATGGAGAAGAGGAAAGGGACATTGTGGGGATGGGGAAGTCATCATGATACTGCTTGAACACAGGCTGGGAACAAGTGTCAACAATGATTAATAGATTCAAATCCCAAAGAGCAGGGCAGATGCTGGCATGCAGTAGTAGTAAGGAGAACAACTGGCAACAATATAGTACAAGATGAGTATTTTACCATCATCTAGTGCCACGTCCCCTCCCGCGGCGCCTAAGTGAGAAATCCTTAGAGCTTGGCACGGTCAAGGTACCCGGCACACTGGAGGAATATGTGGCCCTCCAGGAATAGAAGAATGGCTGATTCTCAAATGGTCACTGTAACTTTTGATTTGTTTTCTGATTCTGTTGACACACAAGGCACTGAACTAAAGAAATGTTATGGATAATGTGCTTCATTTCTAATGATACTCTTGATAAGAATGTAACTTCCTCTATTCTCGATTCTGATTTACTTCTGAGAAACTCCTTTATAATCTTTGATTCTATTATACAATTAACTGCTGTATACCAGGTGGTTTGTGAAATGAATGGAGAGAGCAATTAAAAGGATTAGAAAGGCAGAGGTGATAGATAGGGCATTTGTTTAGCAGCACTGAACCTTGAATACACAGTGGTTCCCGAGGGCCCCAAATTGGTTTCGGGCCCCTGGCAACATCTCAGAAACAAAAAGAAATTAATGTACTACCTGTCAAGCTTCTATTAAAAGAATCATTGTATCCCTATATTTGCTTGACAAGAAAAATCGTATAAATGCTCTGCCCTTAAAAATAAATTACATTCAGATATGCACTCCTAGAAGTCATGTCTGTCTGTCACTCAACCTTATCCTTGTCCACCCTGCGCCAGAATTGCAATCCCTGAAACTTGTCTCCTGCTCCTGCTGCGCTGGTCCGCGGCAATCTAGGTTAATATAAAGTTCATTTCCTTTGCTTGGAATGTTCCCTTTACCTAAAAATATTAAATTCCGAATAACCATTCATTGTTGCTATTGTTCAAAAATATTTCTTGTAATTATTCCCCGTATTGCAAAATCTTTCATTTTTTTTTAAATATTTGTTTATTTATGTTTACAAGAACTAGGGTAGTGGCCAGAGGTGCGGGGCATGAGAGAATTCACCAGAGGCAGAGTGGGGAACAGACAGGTGGACTGGCTGAAATACACTGCTGAGGGGAGCCTGGGGTCAAACTCATGGTGCAGTGGTTGCAGATAGCTTCAGAGCGATCTGCACTTTAATCCCTTGACCTCCAGAGGAGGCTCCTGCATTGTGAAATCTTTTCTCCCTTTGATGGCACTTCTTTCTCCTCTCTTAAACAACAGAAGTAGGTCAGAGCATGAGTCACAAACAGCAGTATTTTCAATAACCAAAAATCAGTAAATCAAGTTAGATAAAGAGAATTTGGGAGTAAGGTTATTGAAAAGAGCTTTCACTCAGGTGTTACTTATTATTACTTCACAAGCTCTTGGGGTTAGGGTTGTGATTTTTCAGTGGCTCAAAAATGAAAAAAACAAAACACTGAGGCTGCAGTGCAATATCAGAATTTGAACAAAACAAAAGATAAACTTCAATTTTTCTTTCATATCTGTTACTTTAAAAACAATGCTTTGTATTCCAAGTGTAAGCAACATGGGCTGAATCAGACTTTTTTTTTTTTGCTTCTGGGCATCTAGCAAACAGCAGATAATGGGTGACTTTGAAAGTGTCCCACACCCAGCAAACAACAGTTGTAACCTTGGAAGTACCTGGCATGAGCAAAAATGTATCCGTTGTGACCATGAGCATA